TGCACTGTTTGATCTAGTAGCGAATACTTGGATTTCTTTTGGTTTTCTGACTTTATGTGTGTTTTATTGCAAGAATTGCAATCAGTTGTAATATTCTTATTAGTAGCTTTAAAAAAAACATGAAAACACACGGCCAGTGTGTTATTTGTTAATATTGTTGGAATGCAACAACATAGAAGAGCAACAACATTTTAAGATAAAGAGGGACTGCTTTGGGTTTCAGTTTTGAGGATTTACATTTGATATTTAGTAACTATGGGTGCTGATGTGAAGTCATGGGCATCGTATGATGGTATAGATCACTGTGAAATTGATCAAGCAGTGGAGATCGTGGTTGGTAGATGTGGAAAAATCCAGGGCTGTGATGATGAGAAGCTGGTAGTGTTGGATGCAGAGTGCTTTTAAAACGGCCTTTTACCTGCATTGGTAATGTGACATATTTATTATTATTATTATTTTGAAAGTATCGAGCATTTAGAGCATCAACACTTTTGTCTGAAAGGAAAAAAAGTTACTACGACAGTTAAAATTTCAGTGTTTTTTAAGGTTGTCAGGGTAACACTTCTTCTCAGGTTCATGAAATCGAATCCAGTTTATTTAACAAATAAAAAAGAAAATGCCGAATAAAAAAAAAAGACTCGATTTAAACTAGACGCAAAATGATATGACATGAAATGGATCAATTTGATCAAGCTGGTAACATTAAAAAAGATGGGCAGTGGTAAAGGACACATGATGGTCATAAATATAAGGGAAACTAATGCTCCAACAGGAGACAATCAAGACAGGAGAAGACAATAAACCTAATAAAGAATGAGTAGATATGACTATGTGCTTTTATAGCAATATTGCACATATTAAGAGTTTGTTTAATTGCAAAAATCAGAGTTTACTCCATTAACTTTCTTTAATGTCATTATGCGAACAGTGTGCCTCCACAGTCGTATATCTTTGATTTCACAATCAAGGCAATTGTTTATTAAGTCTACTAAGGCTCGTTGTATTTCAATAAGTATCGTAGGATTTCTCGTCCTTGATGAATTATCATATCAGGAATTATCAAGATTTGTCTTTTTTTAATTACCATTTTAGACTCTGGCAATATTTACTCACCCTTATGTGGTCATCTGTTTTGGTCAAAACCTGAATGTGAAACAGAAAATATTCACACTGCCCTTTTCTGTACAGTATGACGTGAGCAGGGGCTGTGAGACTCAAAAACCATCGCGCAAGTGATGTTGTCTCTGATGAGAGTGTCAACAGAGGCAGAACTTCAAGTCAGTGTCAAGAAGGAGTCCAGAAGACGAGGTCAGTTCAGAAGTTTGCTTTATTGCTTTATTTTTAGCTGAAGGTGCTGACGGCATTAAACATCCGAGCAGCCTGAATGTCACTACATTAATAAAGAATGAGTAGATATGACTATGTGCTTTTATAGCAATATTGCACATATTAAGAGTTTGTTTAATTGCAAAAATCAGAGTTTACTCCATTAACTTTCTTTAATGTCATTATGCGAACAGTGTGCCTCCACAGTCTTATGTCTTTGATTTCACAATCAAGGCAATTGTTTATTAAGTCTACTAAGGCTCGTTGTATTTCAATAAGTATCATAGGATTTCTCGTCCTTGATGATTTATCATATCAGGAATTATCAAGATTTGTCTTTTTTTAATTACCATTTTAGACTGGCACTATTTACTCACCCTTATGTGGTCATCCGTTTTGGTCAAAACCTGAATGTGAAAATATTAAATCTAAATAAAGCTTTACATACTTAATAAAGCACCAGTTAGTAAATACATTTTGGTCTAAATTTGGACCCAGGTGGATTCCACCCAGATTTTGAATCAGTTATCATGAATGAATATTTATTTATGGGACTAATTAATATTTATTTATGCAACCAGTCCGGATGTAGACCACGGTCAGTTGGTGACCTCTTCATCCTGAGCAGAGGCTCTCAAACCTTCCAGGCTCCTTTGATTAAATCAGAATATCCAGGTACCACTTAGTGACAACAATCTTCCATTGATTGATTGATTGATTGAACAAATGTACATTTCTTTGTCATTAGTGGTATAATGCCTAATTTGTAAAATGAATCTCAGACACACAAAGCTATATTAATATTGAAAACACATCTGACATTAGAAATTACTATAACTCCTATTTATCAGTGACATTTTACAATGAGGTCCTATTGGTTAACATTAGTTAATGCATTAGTTAACAACATTAACTAAAAATGAGCAATATATTTATTTCTGTATTTAGTCATCTTTGTTAACGTTAATTACTAATTATTAATTAAAATACAACTGTTCATTGTTAATGTCAGCTCAGGTCTACTAAATAGTTTTAACAGATACAACTTTTGATTTTAATAATGCATTAGCAAATGTTGAAATTAACATTAACTACACTCTAAAAAATGCTGGGTTAAATATAACCCAGTGCTGGGTTAAAAAGGGACAAACCCAGCTATTGGGTTGTTTTGAACCCAACCGCTGAGTCAAAACAACCCAACCGCTGGGTCAAAACAACCCAACCGCTGAGTCAAAACAATCTCTCCACAGTGTCTCAGCCGAGCACTGATAAAAAATAATGCTACTGGATCAGCTGCGAAACTATCCGAGGCACACTGTTAAACTTCAATACAGGAATATACAGAACAAATACAAGACGATCTCACTAACTGGAGCAGTTCCTTCGGTTTGAATACTGGATGTAAATCTTTGACTTCGCCTCGGAAGACTAGAGGATCCTGCAGGATAAGCATCCACATGCTACTGAGAGGAACAGAGACACGGGAGGATGTCAACAGAGGCAGAACTTCAAGTCAGTGTCAAGAAGGAGTCCAGAAGACGAGGTCAGTTCAGAAGTTTGCTTTATTGCTTTATTTTTAGCTGAAGGTGCTGACGGCATTAAACATCCGAGCAGCCTGAATGTCACTACATTAATAAAGAATGAGTAGATATGACTATGTGCTTTTATAGCAATATTGCACATATTAAGAGTTTGTTTAATTGCAAAAATCAGAGTTTACTCCATTACAATGAGGTCCTATTGGTTAACATTAGTTAATGCATTAGTTAACAACATTAACTAAAAATGAGCAATACATTTATTTCTGTATTTATTAATCTTTGTTAACGTTAATTATTAATAAAAATAATAATGTCAGCTCAGGTCTACTAAATAGTTTTAACAGATACAACTTTTGATTTTAATAATGCATTCGCAAATGTTGAAATTAACATTAACTATGATTAAGAAATGCTTGTTTTTTTTCATTGTTAGTTCATGTTGACTAATGTAGTTGTTGATTTTAATTAAGTTTGCTAAAAACATCCTTTTATATGTATACGTCCTAACTGTAAAAAATGACCTTCTGTACAGTATGACGTGAGCAGGGGCTGTGAGACTCAAAAACCATCGAACAAGTGATGTTGTCTCTGATGAGAGATTCAGTATACCTGTGTTCGACTCTCACTGCCCATAAATGATAAATGAAATCCTTGCCTCAACCTTGATTTTTTTCCACCTCCATGGCAACTGCTGCTTACCGACAGAAATCCATGTGAAAGCTGATTCAAACACACAGCTGTCATGCAAGCGACACACACATAGTAACCTATGGCAGTTCTGGCCGAATGTCAAACTCGTATTAACTGGGTCAAAACAACCCAACCGCTGGGTCAAAACAACCCAACCGCAGAGTGTATGATTAAGAACTGCTTAAGTTTTTTTTTTTCATTGTTAGTTCATGTTGACTAATGTAGTTAACTAAAAAAAGGACTAAACATTGATTTTAATAAAGTTTGCTAAAAACATCCTTTTATATGTATACGTCCTAACTATCTTAACTTCTCTTGGGAACCCTGTTGTGTGATTCATAATAAACATATTTAATGCAGAACATTCAGTATTGAGGCATATCTGGTCATTTGTCTCTCGGGGGTTGAGAGGTCAGTGAGTTTCTGTGTCAGGACTCCAAAATCTTGACAGATTGGTGCGTCTGGAGACCCTCGTCCTCCTCCTCGTATGCTGCCATCTGTCCTGCTCTCACAGAGCTGCTGAACATATGCTCCTCGAGGAGATTCACTGAGCTACTTTCATTTCAACCGATCCAAAAGCTTTACGCTGTCATGTGAGAATAGACCACAATATTGAGAGAAGAATGGCTTTCAGCAAAGCAGTTTCATTTTTCAAACCAGAACACAGTTAAAGCTTTATAATGAATCTCATGCTTTTGCAGTTCTGGCCGAACGATCTACTCGTATTAAATGAGCCACGGCTTCTGAAATACTGGCAACAGAAATATCACCCTGAGTTGAGCACACTGAGACACTTTCATCATATTCACACTTGATGAAGATACCAGATACCAGAACAGAAAGGCCTTTTGTCTGCAATCCACCTCAAAAATTAGTAAAACATTTCTACTTGGAAAAAAAATCATTTTTTTTTTAATTTGGTATTACCATAAAATGTGAAGCACCTTATTAAAAAAAGCAGATGATTTTCACATGTATGTTTTAAAAAGGTATCCAATAATACATAAATATAGTTATTAATTTAGCATATTTTGCATATCTGGTCATTTGTCTCTCGGGGGTTGAGAGGTCAGTGAGTTTCTGTGTCAGGACTCCAAAATCTTGACAGATTGGTGCGTCTGGAGACCCTCGTCCTCCTCCTCGTATGCTGCCATCTGTCCTGCTCTCACAGAGCTGCTGAACATATGCTCCTCGAGGAGATTCACTGAGCTACTTTCATTTCAACCGATCCAAAAGTTTTACGCTGTCATGTGAGAATAGACCGAAATATTGAGAGAAGAATGGCTTTCAGCAAAGCAGTTTCATTTTTCAAACCAGAACACAGTTAAAGCTTTATAATGAATCTCATGCTATTTTTCTTGAAAATAATGTCAGTAAAAAAGTCTTCTTAAAAAACAAGATAATGATCTTAATGCGTCTAAAATAGGCTTCATTTTCTGAGATATGACCTGGGCATGACCCTAGCTCACGTTTAATTGATGGGTTTTAGTTTCAGTGCTGCACAAATTTAGAGAATAAAGTATAAATATAGACTTAAATAGAAAAAGAAATTCTTGTCTTGTCCTGGCTTTCTGCACCTTCATTCCTTCCTGTTTATTCTTTACCTTTACATCTTAAAACAGAACAGTAGAAGAATGTTCAACCCTTGGCTATGTATGAATCTGAAAATGGTGTATTATATAAATATTAATGCAAGAAAATCTGTGCATTTTCCTGAAAATACCAAGCTTGACATTTTCATAGCCTCATCAATACTTGGATGAGGATCTGCACAGTGTACTAATTTCTGAATTTTTTTATTTTATTGTATTTTTTTATGGATATGGGTGGCTGGGAGTTTACTAAATATTAATTTTGAGCTTTTTGTGAAAATGATTTTGCAGATCGACCAAAATCATTGCACGCTATAGTCTGCGTCTCAGTTGTGGACGTTTCTTAGAAGAGATAAGGTGCAGTTTTGTCCAGTGCTTCTATGTTTCTGCTCCAAATCATAATTCTTAATTGGACCTGAAGTAATTATTTCAGTGAAAGCTGAAGTTAGTAACATTTCATTTGTGCATTCATTGCATGCATTTACTGTAGTAATAGAAAACTATGCAACGAACCCTAATCCAACCCTCATCATAACCCTAACCATATAGTAAGTACATGTAGTTCACATTAATATAAGTCAGTTCTTAAATGTATAATTACACTGTAACTTGTTAACAGCTTTTTAACTTGTTAAATGTATAATTACATTGTAACAACTTGTTACTTTTTAGTTGTATTTTTATTTTGTGGTGGAAGCAAAAAAAAACAGAATCGCAAAATGTAAACACAGAATTCTGCGGGAAAAAAAGTAAGTAAGAATTGTGAGTCATAAACTGCGAGAAAGAAAGTGAGGTTACAGTATATCAGACTTCTCAGACAACTGAGACTTTTTTCTCACATTTTTGAGAAACAAAATTCTGAAATGTGAGAAGCAAAGTCAGCATAAAAGAAAAATCAATAATTTTGACCCATACAATGTATTGTTGGCTATTGCTACAAATATACCCCAGCGACTTAAGACTGCTTTTGTGCTCCAGGGTCACATATATTGAATGTGTTGCTACTAGTTTTTCAGCTGTCAGGAGAGTCCATAAAAGCTTCACTCGTCCTTGTGCTCTCGTGTCAGTGTTGAAATAGGATTTAACAACTAATTAAGAAAAAGCAAGACCGCTGATATTGGAAGCCACCCACAGTGCATTCAGAAAGTACTCCTTTATTTATTTCACTTAACAAAAAATAAATAAAGGAATTAAGGGGGCTGAACACTTTTTGAATGCGCAAAAACAAAAGTGTTGCGTTTATAATTTTGTTCAGTGTACTATTCAGTATTGCTTTGAGAAAGATGTCAAGTTTTCAAACCTGCTTCAAGTGACCACGGAACGTGTTTAGAATTTCATTATAGAACAAAAGGCTAATAAAATGAGAAAGACTTGACTCAGCATGATCTCTTTCTTTTTTGCCTTCAGAAGTCTGAGAAAATTAGCAAACTAGATGCATCTTTCACGTTTAGAAGTGCTGAATGAGTAAAAAAAGTGACCTTACAAATGATGCATATCTGAATAGTTGAGCAAATGTCCTCTATGCAAACTATGCCAGCATATTGCTAATAAAGCGAGACTGTACCTTTACTGCAGACGCTTCCATTCATGCTTGCTTTTAATTCCTCTCATCCTCTTTTTCCCCCTGCAGGGCATTGCTGCTTCGGCCCGCTCAAAGGGGAACCACAAGCAGAGAATTTTCTTGACTGTGTCTTTTGGTGGAATCAAGATTTATGATGAGAGATCAGGGGTAAGAGTATTCTGGGAGTGTTTCCTAGTTTTATTAGTGTAAATCCTATATATGTTTAACTGTGATCCTCGTTGTTGTGTCAGTTAACACTACTCTGATTCTAAAATGTTTAAATGTTACTAAAATGTTAAAATGCAAAAATGTTAAAAAACATTTGTTTTCACCTAAAATATAATATTATTTGAATATAATATATATATATAATATAATAAAATATTACTTGAACACTGATTTTTAATATTCTTAGAACGTTAAAAAACGTTAAAAAAATGTCTTACAATATTCTACTAAACCTTATTTTCACTCAGAGTGTAACGTTTATTTTTTTTTTATATTCTAATGTTTTCTCTCAACGTCATAAGAACATTCATCAAGTAAAAATTGTGTTTTTATTGAAAACCTGAAAACCTTTAATTTAACTACAAAAATTTTTTTTTTAAATGTAATCTAGCAAATCTATATAAGAAAGTTGGGACATCTTGGAAAATGCAATAAAAGCAAGAATCTATGACTGTTAAATCTCTTCAACCTTTAGTTAACTGACACAATTACAAAGAAAAGATTTCCACTGTTTTCACTGACCTACTGAATTTTATTTTGTCAATGCAATTTAAAAAAAAAGTGCTATGCCTGCAACACATTCAAAAACAGCTGGGAAGGAAGGCGTGTTTAACACTGTGTTGCATCACCTTTCATTGTAATTATTCACATTTGGTAACCGATAATGCTAATTGTTGCAGTTTTGCAACTGCAATGTTTGCCCATTCTTACTTCAGCCATTCAACAGCCTGTGGCCATTGTCATCTGATACTCCTCTTCATGATGCACTACACATTTTAGGTTGCAACATAACAAAAAGGGTTCAGAATACTTTCCGAATGCACTGTTTATGCGAGTTACACAAAGTGTACATAGAAGACAAATAGTCTTAACAATAGTTGGTGGCGTTTGTGAAAACAGACTTTGCCAACAAGGATGGCTATTTGCACTTAGTGTAAACAGACACTATCCAAAATTCAAATATAAGCACACATTTTGCTTGAAAAATTGTACAATATGAAAATGTATTTATTTGTAAAAAAAATTTTGGTCACTGATTTTGACACATAATGATGTGATCCTCAGGTCTTACAACACCACCACTCTGTACATGAAATCTCCTACATTGCCAAAGACACAAGGGACCATCGCGCCTTCGGCTACGTGTGCGGGAAAAAAGGCAACCACAAATTTGTGGCAATCAAGACCAGCTATTCGGTTAGTGTTCATAGCTCTTAATATTCCTAAATTCAAACTGTTCTCATGCCAGTTAAAAGTTATGACCTCAGTTATCCTCTCGTAGGCGGAGCCAGTTATACTGGACCTGCGTGACCTTTTCACCCTCGTCTATGACATCAAACAGAGGGAGGAGTCACAGGAAAAGGCTCAGAAGGACAAGCACTGTGAACAAGCCATCTATCAGGTGAGATCCAGCAAGAGTTTCTCCAGAAAATAACTGGCCAATGACTCTTTAGGGTAAAATTCTGCGTGCATTTCTACTGTCCATATGTATCATGCCAGACAAAGCATATAAATCTCACTTCCGGGGAAAGAGTTAAAAAAAATCACAATTGCCAAGTACGCTGGCTATGACATAGTTTTAGTTAAGGACAGTCTGTTTTACAAAGTCACACTGAACTTACACTGGACGTCCCGTGCCAAAGAATGCATCTCTATGGAATATGCCAAAGGTATGATGAAATATTTTTATTTGTTCACATTTGAGGGCTAGATCATTGGTCGTAGTTAGTTGATTATTTCTCTGTATTGTTACTGTTTGTCACCGGTTGCAGTTCTGGCTGTTCTAACTTACCATAAATTATAAATAATTTACTATAAATATCTGTTAAACAGGTCGCAATGAGTGTGTATTGGTATCATGGTAACATGGCTGTCTGTATTCATGGTAAAATTGTGTATCTAACGCATTTATAATTGGTGGTCTAAAATGTGTTTACATTATGGATATCAAGTCAAATTTTTGAATATGTTAGCCTATGGAATTTTCCTTATGTAGTAATATTATCCAGTGCTCTGCCATCTGTTGCTCAGTAGCTTTTAGTTTCATAGTTGTAGTAACAAGAGGTTTGTTGACGCACTGCAAATACGTCAATGGGATACTTCACAATACGTCATCGCCACCTTTTCTGTTTTCAAACGTATGACTGGTTCATTTCTGATGGTTCTCGGATTCGTGTTTCTTTTGGTTTTCTCTCATTTTGTCTTTAACATTTTTCTTAATGGCTGACACAGACGATTCTGGAAGATGAAACTGATGATCCGGTGTATCAGGTGAGAGTTTGTCAATCTCATTTACCATAAGCTTAACCTGATTTTATGAAGAACCGACATTCTATACTTGATTTTATTATCATTTAACTCCTCCATTTAAGTGTTGAGGATATTTTTTGCAGTCGATGCTCACAGAATTCTGTTAAGCATTCAGTCATTGCCAGTGTGTTGATCTGGAGTCATGTTTTGTGGTTCTGTCTATATGTTCTGTGGAGAGTCATAAACAGCCCTACTGTACCGGATGTACTCTGATATGCTGAACCCAGTGCTCTCTCGCTCACACTGAATACAGACAACTTTAACCATCAGTTTCACACAAATATATTTATCTCCAACCAGAATCCCTTAGATAGAGGCTCTCAAAAACCTTGGTTTAGTTAAGCTTTGAAGTACCAGTTTGTCATGGAAAAAAAAAAGTCCAGTGTTTTTACCTGTTGATATAGCAATGAAATAAAATGTATATTACATTAGCAGATGAAATTTTGTAGCTCAGAGTTTGCTCATTCATAGCTCAGGAGATGAACGCTAACCATGCACCCACCATATAACTTTCAAAGTGGGATTGCTGTTCATTTCACACTTAGACAACATTCTGTCATTGCAAGGTCAATTCCAGCCAAAACACGTTTCACACCGCAGGACTTGGATCTCAGACAGGTCTAGATATTTAACCTGCTAATGTCTCTCGTGCATAAGCGATGCATTGGCGCTTCTCACAGATCGCATCTGTAAAAATTCACACTTAGTTACTCGTGTGAACGGGCCATGATTTGCCTTCAGTTTCAGGCTTTTGTCTCCATTAACTGTCAGTGATCAGGGCTTAAATTGTGTGTGGGCAGCGTTAATGAAGTTCGCAGTTGTGTATCAGCTACTCATATATACACTACTGTTCAAAAGTTTGGGATCAGTAAGATATTTAATGTTTTTTAAAAAGGGTCTAGTGCTTATCAAGGCTGCATTTATTTGATAAAAATACAGTAAAAACAGTAGTATTGTGAAATATTATTACAATTTAAAATAACTGTTTTAATTTTTTTAAATGCTGAATTTTCAGCTTTATTACTGCAGTCTTCAGTGTCACATGATCTTCAGAAATCATTCTGATATGCTGATTTATTATCAATGTTGAAAACAGTTGTGCTGCTTAAGTTTTTGGAACCTGTGGATTCTTTGATAAATAAAAGGTTAAAAAGAACAGCATTGACTAAAAATAGAGATCAGAATATAAGTCTTACTATTACTTTTTTAAAAATCAATTTAACATATTCTTGCTGAATAAAAGTATTAATTTCTTTCAAAAAAAAAAAAAAGTAGACCCCAAACTTTTAAACGGTAGTGCATATTGTCAAAAAAGATTTCAATTTTGAATAAATCATGTTTTTTTTTTTTTACTTTTTATTATTTAGAAGTATTAAAGTAGAAAACGTTATTTTAAATTGTAATAATATTTCTCAATGTTATTGATTTTACTGTATTTTTTATCAAATAAAAACAGCAAAAAAAAAATCTTACTGACCCCAAACCTTTGAACGGCAGTATATTTGCAGATATAATTCTCCCAAAATCTGTAGAAATAAAACTGTACATAACTGGGATATTAGTAATACATTAAGAGTATAGAGATAAAACAACAAATTTTGAAAATCATATCTCTGATCATTTGATTTTAGGAAATATTGAGACTTTTGATTGCAGACTTTGGCATCTCTTCTGAAATTGGATACTTTTGTGAGATTACCGAGGCCTTTTTTTTGTGAGAAGCACCAGACCTAAGAGTAAAAATTTGCTTGCCACTTAATCAACTAACAACCGAGAAATGAATGAGATACCATTGCTGATTTTCTATCCTGTGGAAACAAAAAGGGTCAATCTACAGTTCTCACTGTTCTGGCTAAAGATACACAATATTCAGCATTGAATGTTCTTAGTGTTGCCGCTGTCTGATTGGTTCCATACGGGGCCTTTCTCATTTTCTTTCCTAACTCCTTGTAGTACATTGTGTTTGAAGCCGGACACGAGCCGCTCCGTGGCCACCAATCAGAGGAGAGCATTTACCAGGTACTTCCTCGAGCCACGCCCCTCTTCGCCCACACAGAAAGCGGAATCTAAAAATAGTTTTCCTATAATATTATCTCCCCAGATTAAACATTTAAAATGTGCAGTAATCTGTGATCTTAAAAATACAGTACTCGATTTAAATACCTACAATATGCAGTGCACATATAATGAATATTACTGAAGCATAGCAGGAGTCTTATGTTGTTAACTTGCTATAATTTTTAGGTCCCCACGAGTCATCAGAAAGACGGGATCTATGACGTTCCAAAACACCATCTTATGAGTGTAGGTTCTCTCATGTCTCAAACATTCGCTCAACCTTCCCGTCTCTTTTCTCCTTCAAACAAACCTCTCAATGTTCTTCCCTCTTCTTGATTTAGAAAATGTAACGTTTTTTTAATCCTATAGCAAATCGATCAGTGTACTGAAAATATTTCTTTGTTGTTGTTCATGTTACAAATCGTTCAGTATTATTTAAGGCAGCGATATTATATAAGGGAAACGGATGTGGGGGAAATCACACAGAGGTTTGTTTTGAGGCTTCACCTCTAGTATGGATGTACTGCATGGGTTTAGAAAATGTTAATGTGACAATTGCAATGCATCAATGACGAGGATTTCTAATAGTTTTTTTTTAACCAACAGAAATAAGGATTGGCTTTAAAAAACACTGTTATGATATGTTATGAAATTTTGAGAAAGAGTGATGTCCACCTAAAATTTCCAGAGCCTGTTATTTATAAAAACCTTACTAAAAAAAATAAAACATTGAAGATCGGCATGCATTGCAAAACCCCAGACAGATCTACAGAAGTCAAAACAAAGCATTGCTTTCACCAGAATGAATCCATGTTAAATGATTGTTATCAGTCCATTTCACAGAGTGTTATTGCTTGTCTGTTCATTCAGTCGGAGCCTATCGAGTGCTTGGAGCTTTACTCACATAAATATCAGTCTCTCTGCTGCAATGTTTGCTCACACGTGCCAAACATTGATTTTGCTTGATTCTATGAACACCTGAGTCTTCTGGTGTGATTTGCTAGCGTTTCTATAGAACATGACTGTTGTGTTGGCTTTGTTTTTTGTTTTGCTTACACATTGGTTTCTGGTTAAAAGGTCATATATTTTAGTTATCATCCACCTCGTTGCTTGCACCTTTTGTTTTGTTTTATTAATGTTTGTTGCCTGATTCCCTTCACTTGTTAGTGTCATTGATATGTCATTATGTCCTAATCTGATAGATCAATAACTATTCCACTGAAAAAAGTAATCAGTGATCTTGTTCAGATACTCTGTGTTGAGGAATGCTTTCCAGTACAGCATTACAGTATACTGTATCTTCTTTATCTTCCTCCCTGGCTGTCTTGCAGAATATAAACCAGTTTGATATTTTCGGTGACATGGCAACCCCCCCAGACATCCTTTCTGTAAGTAAACCTCAAGATGAACAATCACCCATGTGGTTAGTCTCACCTTTAAAGCAAACCGATTCCGATATTGACTGCCGATTTTTATTTTATTTATTTATTAAAAAAAAAAAAAAAATGTGTTGTTTGTTTGCTCTTACAGGCCGAACTGGCCTTAAACTAAAAATATCTTTAGCCATTTGAAATTAGAAGCAACCGCTGCATTTTAATCACAATCCAAACAAAGATGCTACACCCATTTTAATTGTTATTTTGATTTAAATTAGATGGTATTATTTCAAGAATTAAAGCAAAAACAGAATAGTCTGACTTTAGCGTTGTGAAATTACATAAGACAGACCTGCACATAAAAAATAAAGAAAGAAATAAAATAAAATAAAATAAAATGAAAAACCAATTGCGTGTGTTTAAAGCAAAAACCGTCCGGTGCCAATTTATGTCTGGTCAAACGGTGCATCTATAAATTTTATTATGATACCATAATGTAAATTATTTGTAGACTCATACATCCAAAATTACATCAATGTCATCACAGATGCCAGCGTCGCCTGCTACCGCACTGGATCCTGGAAGAAGGCAACGTCAGCACCGCCCAGAACTCTTCACCCATTTTAGCCCACCGGCTATGCCCTCAGGTAACAAGTCAAGTCAAATCAACTCAAGTCACCTTTATTTATATAGCACTTTATACAATGCATATTGTGTCAAATCAGCTTTACAGTGTTAAACAGGAAAAATTTGTGCTGATAATGCAAAAGGACAATAGAAAACAGTCAGTTTATCAGTTAAAGTTGATTCAGTGATGTCATCGTTCAGCTCAGTTCAGTTCTCTTCCAATAGTGTCTGTGCAATCAAGTCAACAATATTGCCAGCAATTGTGTCCCCAATTAAGCAAGCCAAAGGCAACAGTGGCAAGGAACCAAAACTCCATCGGTGACAGAAATGGAGAAAAAAACCTTGGGAGAAACCAGGCTCAGTTGGGGGGGCCAGTTCTCCTCTGGCCAGACAAAACCAGCATGGTGTGGTTTAATTCCAGGCTGCAACGCAAGTCAGATTGAGCAGAGGACTCGTCTGGTTCTTGTGGTCTTGTGCTGATGGCCGACGAGGTCTTCACAGGGGATCTGTCTCTAGGGTTCGTCTAGTTGACATGGTCTTCGCTGACATTCGGGGCTGTAGAGGTCATCTCTAGATGTTGATCCACCATCTGGACTGGACACGGACTGGATCCAGGTGACTGCAGTGACCATCTGATCTGGATACAGACTGGATCTGGGTGCTACGGTGACCTCAGAATAAGAATGAGACAGACTAATATTAGTGTAGATGCCATTCTTCTTAAGATGTCACAAGTACATTAGGTGTTAGGGGAAGTGTTCCCCGTTCCTGTTGACCTAATTAATGCAGCCTAACAATCCTTTAACAGATTTGAATTATAGAAAAGTGATTGTGTGTTATGTGTATGCCAGGTTAAAGAGATGGGTCTTTAATCTAGGTTTAAACTAACAGAGTGTGTCTGCCTCCTGAACAATACTAGGTAGATTGTTCCAGAGTTTTGGCGTTAAATAGGAAAAGGATCTGCTGCCCGCAGTTGATTTTGATATTCTAGGTAGTAGAAAATGGCCAGAGTTTTGAGACTGCAGTGGACGTGAAGGACTATAATGCGATA